TCTATTGATAATAATCACGGACTAAGATAGTATTATCTTTGTTCGTGATAATAATTGACAAAATTATTTTGTCATGATAAAGATCACGAACATATAATTTATAGTATGATAAAGATAAACATAAATTTGAGTAAATTTAAGGTTATGAAAAAAATACAAAAATACATCCACATTTAAAAAATTTAAAACAAAATAAATATTAGTATTTATTAATAATTCATTAAGTGTGTACAACTATAAAAGTGTGTAAAACTTACTGTATACTACAAAACCGAAATCTTTTAACGGAACTAAAATAATTTTGTTTCAATAACAATGGTTAAAGTAAGTTACAAGTTTTATATTAGTTATTCATTAGTACTGAATAGTTAAATGTTTAATTTTCAATTTTATTTAATCTCAATAGATCTGACTACTTACATATTTTGTTTAGTAAATATTTTTGTTACCTTGAATTTAGTTCTAATTTCATGTTATTTTTTTAGAAAAATATGGCCAAAAGTGGAAAAACCAGCAATGTTAAGAGGCGTAACCATTTACGGAATAAAGGACACATAAAAACAAAAAAACATAAGTCTAAAGCATATAATGTGCCTCAACCTCCATTAAAACGACGTGATGATCCAGTTGAAGAAATTGATGAAGAAGAAGCAGAAAACAGTGATATTGGAGATGATATGTTAGAAATGGTTGACCAAGAAGATTTGGATTTTCTTAAAAAAAATATTGGCAACCAAAATTATAAGCTGTACAACCGTATTCAAATTAATAATGTAAATTGTAAACAATTTACTAATTTTAGTTTTGTATATATTAATTATGTATGTCTTTAGGATGGTAAAAATAAAAGAACTCGAGAACACGATGATGAAGAACTTGAAAATGAGTATGAAAGTAACTCAATGATGATGAAAGCAGATGATTTATCTGTTAAGAAACCTTTGTTACCAATTAAAACTAAAGATGGCATTTTAAGGCGATACACATTAGAAAAAGATGAAATAGGTAGATCTATACTATTATATATTTATTTGTACCTAATATACCTATTTAAAATAATAAAACGGAATTATCATTACTATGTGGTTTCTTCTAACAAGTATTTTTCTCTGTAAATTATCTCATATACTTATTGAACCTCAGGATACAGATAGTATATATATATATATATTTTTTTTTATGTACAATTTGTACAGTTAAATTGTATCAATTGAAATGTATGAAAGTTGCATAATAACTAATCAAAAATATCTTGACATATTTTGTTTTTTCTAATAATCTAGACTAAATGTTTAACATTAACAATTTATTTTATATTTTCTGTAATTGCTTGTGATCAAACTTTTCTCTTAATATTATATTATATATCAATACATTTATACTAGGTTGCATAAAAAAATATATTAATTTAATTACTAATCAAGGGTCATTAAACTAATTAATGCATTTATTAAT